TCAGGCAGTTGTAGGGAGCGATGAGGGCTCCCCTCAGCCTCCTCTGCTCCAGGCTGAACCCCCCCAGCTCCCCCAGCCGCTCCCCAGCAGCCTGGGGCTCCAGACCCCTCCCCAGCTTTGTGGCTCTCCTCTGGACATGTTCCAGCAACGCAACGTCTTTCTTGGAGTGAGGGGCCCAAAACTGAACACAGTGTTCAAGGTGCGGCCTCACCAGCACCGAGTGCAGGGGCACGGTCACTTCCAGAGCACCCTGCGCTCAGGCGCCTCAACTCAAGAGGTGGGAATCTAAATTCTCCAAAAGCAAGCAGCACGGCTGTCTTCTCCCTCCTCTCCCTTTGCCGCTCAGAAATGACGCTGTTTGCTTTGCTGCTTCCTCACGACGGGGCTGTGCAGCATCTCAGCGCGTTGTCTTCAAGCGCCTGCCTGACTCGGGCCACCCCATCAGCGGAGGCAGCCGCTCCTCGTTTCCCGAGTCCTGCTCAGGACCTGTTGCTTCGGGGTGAAGTCCCAGGAAACGGGGTGAACCGATTCCTTCCAAAGAACAGGGCCAGCAATGCGGGACCAGGGTTTGCTGCAGCAATGGTTACCAGCCTACCAAAGCCACCGGTCAGTTGTCCAGCTGGATCCTCTCTCCTCTTAGTACCACAGCGCCGGTACCGTGCATGCTACATGTGGTGTAGCAGGAAAATGCTAAGGTACGAGGATCTAAAACCTGGGTCTGCAGCAGCATGGATTGAAACACCACTCACAGGCCACTCCCGCTCCAGCACAGAACCCCAGAATCCCAGGTTGGAAGGGACCTCCAGGACCACCTGACCCAACCTCTCTGGGCAAGAGCCCAGCCTAGACAAGATGGCCCAGCACCCTGTCCAGCTGAGGCTTGAGAGTGCCCAATGTGGCAGAGCCAACCCCTCCCCTGGGGAGATCATTCCAATGGGTGACTGTTCTCATGGGGAAAAACTTCCCTCTCGTGTCCAGTCGGAATCTCCCCAAGAGCAACTTGTGTCCATTCCCTCTTGTCCTCTCCATGGGACTCCTTGTGACAAGGGAGTCTCCATCTTCCTCGTACCCACCCCTTAGGTACTGGTACATGGGGATGAGATCCCCCCCTGGGCCTCCTTTGCTCCAGGCTGAACAACCCCAGCTCCCCCAGCCCATCCTCGCGCGGCTGACAGAGGCTTCCCAGCCCTCGGATCCCCTTGGTGGCCCTGCTCTGGGCCCCTCCAGCCTGCCCATGGCTTTTTGGTTCAGCGGGGACCAGAACTGCACACCGAGGCGAGCCTTCAGACACCCCAATAAGGGTGTGCAGGTAAAACTACTTCCCTGGGGGCAGTTTTATTTTTTAAGCCTGGGACGGGACGGGAAG